GAACACCTGGCACTTGGAAGTTTAACACTTCCTGTTGCTTCCTGATTCTGTGGCTATAAAGCACCAGAATGTTTGGACTTGGCATCTTCTCTCCATAGCAGTGAATTCAATATCACATCAGACCAGCCTTCTCCACCTCTTGTTCTGGGGGAAATTCTGAGTTCAGAGATTCATAAGTTAATGTGCAAGTAATAGAAATAATCACATAATATATTTAAAAGGAAAAAAAATAGCTCAGGAGGATGATTAGTCTTTAAAGGGTTTGTTAAGAACTAGATGGAGTTGGGGCAGCTAGGTGGTAAGCAGTGGATAGAGCAGGGACCTGGAGTCAGGAGGATCTGAGTTCACATCTGACCTCAGACACATAATACATACTAGCTGTGTGACTTTGGGCAAGTCACTTAACCCCAGTTGCCTTAGCCAAACAAACAAAAAAACTAAATGGAAGATTGGCCTAACTGTGTACACAATGACCTATAAAAATTGCCTATACTTTTTCCAGGAAGACAGAGACGCTGCTTCAAGCTGTAATTTGGTCTGAACTCCAGTAGTTGCTGGTCTTAACGCAGAACCTTAACATATCATAACTCCTATGGTCTATCAGTTCCACTCCTTACAAATACCCCAGGAGGAGGAGAAGGAGAAAAAGGAAGAGAAAAGGCAGAGGGGAGAAGTGGCAAAATCTCTGTTAGAACAGTCTTCTCTCAGCATATGGTGATTACCAAGACAGGAGGACAACTCTTCAGTATTAGCCACCACACTCAAACTAGCAAAAGTTGGGCAGAATATCCCCAGAAAACCACAGTTAGGTCCTTTTGACTCCTGTTTCTGGGGCACAGATCCAAGTTTCTTGTTACAAATAACTTTATTCTATGTATTAACTGGCTTATCTAGAAATGAATTTGAGCCAAGACAAAAGGTAACCTAAGAAAGCCATGTCAGTGTTCTCCAACTGCCTAGTTCATATTCCTCTCATTATGGTGTACAACTTTCAATAGTAAAGCCCATTTACTTTATCACTCTATTTTGGATGGTAAAAGGGCTCAGTCTCCACATGTTTTACAAATGAGGAAACTGAGGCTCAAAGAAGTTACTTGCCTGTGGCCAGGTAATAATTCCATTTCCAAGCTGGATTGAACCTTGTTGCCTTCAGTAAGTGAACTCGGGTCGTTCTCCTTGACCTGTTACTGTCCCATCATCCCCAAAGTGATGTAAACCAGCAAAAGAAGACTCCCCAAAGACCACTTGGAAGCTCTTTCTAGGAGACTGACATCACGAAACTTGGCCCATCTTGCAAGACAGAAACATTCTAACTCTGACTGTAGAAACTGATATACAGTCAACATTTTCTACTCCTTTGAAATCTCACCAAGTTGCGGAGTATTTTAAGTTCTTTTAACCTTGGTTCTTGCAGCCCATCAAAATGTATTGGCTGACATATTTCAGAACAAAAATGTGCTTAATAATGCCTCATTTAATTTGAACTTCTCATCTAGAATGAACACTTTCAATGGAAATGCTTAAAATGGTCAATCAAGAGATTTTTTTATGCCTAATTAGTGGTTTTTAAGAACCTCAGTGATCAAAAATAGGCCTTCTCTTTGCTTAATAGGGAATAAACCTACACACACACACACACACAGACACACACGCAGAGAGGATGCTATTACTAGAAGCTCTTTCAGCCTGCATTAAAGATTCATTTCAGTACATCATCAAGGCAAGAAGATGGCCATGGAGTCCTGAAGGTTGTGCCTTATTGGAGTCCAAATCATGGCAAGCCCTATGAAACTGGGAAGGCTTTGAGCATGCTCATGGTGTCAGGTTGGATGTCAGTCACCAGAAGGTCAGCCTCGTGAAGTCTGAAGAGGCTGATGCCACAGGGTGATAAAATTTATAACTACAACCACTCTCAGATATGAGGCATTAAAGTCATAGGTGGTAGTAATCTCTGCAAGTTGAGAAACTCTCTACAAGACCAAATGATGGATTCTTGAAGTGCTCCAATACAATTTCCTGACCTTGAGCTACAAGGAAAATAAAGTTACCTAATCTAGGATGAGTAGAGTAGAAAGCTGATACATTGGAATAAGGGGAAATCTAACTTGAATTCTGGCTGTGCCACTTCCTAAGTGACTTTAAGCAAGTTGCTAAACTGCTTCTGACCTCAGTTTTCTCATCTGTGAAATGAGAAGGTTGGAATAGATAGCTAACATTGTTGTTGTTGTTGTTCAGTTGTGTACGACTCTTCATGACCCCATTTGGAATTTTCTTGGCAGAGATACTAGAGTGATTTGCCATTTCCTTCTCCAGCTCATTTTACAGATCAGGAAACTGAGGCGAACAGGGTTAAGTGACTTGCCCAGGGTCACCCAGCTAGTAAGTGTCTGAGGCTGGATTTGAACTCAGGTCTTCCTGACTCCAGGCCCAATGCTTTATCCACTGTACATCAATGCCCTATCTAATGTTTACCTAGCCCTTTAAGGTTATCAAAGTTATTTACATGTTATTTCGTCTGATGCTCACAACTACGTAGGGTAGGTGCTATAATAATAACCCGTTGATGTTCTGATAAATGTTTAACAACTGGCTCTCTAAAAATAAAATTGTATGCAGGGTACAATTTAAGTTTAATCTTCATATTTAACATTTGCCTTACTTTTCTAAGGCTGGACAGTCAACAAAACAGTAAATCGATCCCTGATACAAAACATTTACCAATTTCTGAATTGTAAATGCTCACTCTGAAAATTTCACAAAAAGCACTTTACATATATTATCTCATTCAATCCACACAACAACCTTGTGAAATAGGTCTTTTTATTCCTCAATTTCCTTATGAGGGAACCTAAGTCCTTGTTATATATAAGTTGTCTTCCACCTCAAAATCGACAACCCTTGATTCACATGTGCCATGAATGTAAATATAGATTAGAACATAGGATCTGGGCCCATATGGGCTCTTATAAATTGCTTGATCCCAAACCTTCATTTTGTACATGAGAAAACTGAGGTTCAGAATTGTTAGGTGGTTGATCTGGGATCTCAAAGTCAATAAAGATAGTAACCAAGACCCAGAGCCATATTCTCGGACCCTAGACCCACTGCTTTTCCTACATCCAGGCTGCCTCTTGTAAGTCACCTGAAATCTGTCAACATTGATTAATCAGGCAACACGCATTTGTGAAATGCCTCCTATAAGTCAGGTATTGTGCTAGTTGCTGAGCATACAAAAGGGAGCAAGTCCCTTTCCTTAGGGTGGTAGCTTCTACTGAATGTATTACTGTGGTTATAACAACCCTAGGAATGATAACAACAAGCAAGTAAAAACAGCCTCTGAAGACCTATGTCTTTATTTAAAATGTCTATATATGATTTAATTTTGCCTCACTTTTTAAGGCACTAACTGAATGCTAATAATAATAACTCGTGTCCAGCATAGAAAAAAACTCCAGGCAAAGGATAAGATTTATATACTTTAAGAGTTCTGCTGTCCCCTCAAGGTGGTGTATTCTCTCCTTTAGTATAGTCCACCCTTCCCATTCAATGTGATTGTTATCTATCCAATCCATCATTACAGTGTGAATATGGTTATGGGCATGGACATGACCACAGGCTATTACAAACTTTGGCAGTTGGGAATAAGCCGTGATGGGTTCTACCAAATTGGACATCTTCAAGCATGGTCCTAGCAAGAAACTGAGTCCATTATTGCAAGGGCTCCTCAATCTGTCATTAGTATAAGATGTCAGCCCCTCAAAAACATGCAGTAGTAAAGCAGTAGAGGCATGGAGTCTAGAAATAGCTGTGACAGTCTTTCTGTCCCCTCTTGTCCACATCACACCTGTAGTATTGTGCTCAGTCCTGAGTGCCAAGTATTAGTATAAACTACACATTATCTGGGGGTGGGAAAAGGAGCCACAATGTAGAAGGATGTTATACTCACACCACATGAGGACCAGCTAAAGGAAATAGATTTTTCTAGAAAAAGAAGTCTCCAGAAGGATATAATACCTGTCCTGACATATTTGAAAGGTTGTCTTAGGGGACAGAAATTAAACTTAGGATCACAGTTTCAGAGCTGAAAGGTTTGTTTAAGGTCATCAAGATTAAACCCCTCATTTTAGAGATGAGGAAAGTTAGACACAGAGAGGGCTCTACTTGGAGGAAGAACTACGGGAAATGAATATATGTTGGGGAAAAGCAAACTTAGGCTTGATGGAAGGGGAAGGGGAGGGGAACTCCCTTAAAATTAGGACTACCTAAGAGTTATCATGGGACAAAGAAGGTATTCCCTCACAAAAGGCAGAGGTCTCAAACAAAAGCAGGGTACTATTTCAGTTTAGCTCAAAGGCCATTAAGAGCCCTTCACAGCTAAGTTTCCATTAGTGTAAATAATGAATCCCCTTGAAGTGGTCATATTATTTGAATTCACACCGCATATTTCCATTGGGCTGGAACCAATGACCGTATTTTACATAATTATAGCTTCAAATAGTGCAAACTAGAATACAAGCAACATTTCAGATAATTCATTATTCATACTAATGGATTAATGGGGGGGATAACTTTATATATATATGATACTGTATTAGATACTTTGCATACAAAGTCAAGAATGAAATAGTCCCCACATTCTACTGGGTGGATACAAGAAGTATACAGATAGGTAAGTAAATGATAATTTTAGGAGGGGAGAACATTAGCTACTCATAAAATGGCCAGTATTGTATCGTTAGTCAGAAACACTGAATAGTGGTGTGTTCTTTAAGTATGGGTTAGACTAGGTAGCCTTTGATGTACCTTTCTATTCTGTAATTCTGTGATTCTTGGACCAACTGAGGTAGTATGAGCAGGTTTCACTAGTAGGCTGGGTATTAGATGATTAATTCCATGACTACAACAACCAAACAAAAATTTACAATTTGAAAAGTCACATTTCCACTTGGGTAGTTAGCATACCATTACTGATTTTATCTTTTTTTGTTGTTCGTTTTCAGAATTACTTTTTCTGAAGATGGAAGCCTTAGAATCATGAATGTGACAAAATCTGATGCTGGCAGTTACACTTGTATCGCAACTAATCATTTTGGAACAGCTAGCAGTACTGGAAACTTGGTGGTAAAAGGTAATGGCTAAACTTTAAATGCTTTATTTCTACGAATGTATAGTATTTCATCATGTCAAGTACTGTGATTTTCCGCATGAGAGAACTCCTGGTGTGGAAACTCCCTCCAGTGACACAGACTATAAGCAGTCTATGATGTAGAGCCTAAGTGAGTTGCCTGTGGCTAAGACAGATTAAGTGACCTGCCTATGGTCACACCGCTAGTAAGTGTCAGAGACATGATGGGCTCATCTGAGACCCAGTTAAGAGACATTTCTTATAAGGTGAAGAAATTCTGCAATTTATATTACAGCCTATGGATGCCACCATGGTGGTAAATTAACCCATCACAGAAAACATGGCATGATTGATAATTCTTGGAGCAATGCTCGTTCCAAGTATGATCGAGATATTATCTTATTCTGAAATCATCCAGTAGAATTTTAAGCCATACGGTATAGTTCATAGTATTGTAACTAATGTTATCTTCTATCCTTTAATTAAATGTCTTACTATTCTCTATGGAACTGAAGTTCGTGTCTAGGAATAGACTCTACTAACAAATTGAAAACATAAAATTTGAATATTATATTCAACGTACTTGTTTTAAGCTGTGGAATTTATATTTTTAAAAAATAACCACTCTGATTATGCTAAGTTAAAGATACAGATTATTATGCTAATAAAATTTTCAATCCCCCCCTGTGCTCTGCTTCAGTTAGTCAATGGGCCCTCACAATTTTACCCTAAAGTTTATGGAAATGGAATGGAAATGTTTGTGAAAATGTTATCCCCACTCATATTCCTTACAGCTTGGTATAATAGCCATTCACATTTATATAGCACTCTAAGGTTTAAAGGTATTTCCTCACGGCAACTGTCAGTCAGTCAATCAGCAAATATTTATTAAGCACTTACTGTGTGTCAGGCACTGTGCAAAGATCTGGGGATACCAAAAAAAAAAAAAAAAGGAAAAAAAGAATCTCTGTTCCTCCTTCCAAAGAGAGAGATAATACATGAATAACTGAGTATATAGAAGATATGTACAAAATAAATTAATGGAAGGTAATCTGAAAGGGGGAGGCATTAGAAGCGGGATGGTGAGTCATAACAACATCGCTATTGTTGTAGTAGTTTGTGTCATCACAAATTGTCTTGATTATTTCCACAACAGCAAAGTCACAGAATTGTGTTTTCTTTAGAGAATCAAAGGCCAGATGTCCCAGAAGTCTAGAAAGTTCTGAGCAACAATACTCAGCAATCACTACGAGCACGAGACACAAAGAGCAGGAACAAATATTGCTTAATTTGGGACTCAAGTTCAAATTCTAGCTCTGCTCCTTAACGATCTGTGTAGCTTTGGGCAACTTAATCTCTGGGGGAATTCAGTTTCCAAATCTGTATATTGAGGGTTGATCAGAGTAGTACCCTGATCACATCAGTGGTGCGATAAAATGAGATCATCTTCGTCAAATCAAAATAGAAATGGATATTTCTTAGATATTGCCTTAGAAAATGGCAAATTAGCATTATCTCTGTTGTATTTTTATTTATTTTGTTAAACATTTCCCACTTATATTTTAATCTGGTTCCCACTGAAGATCTTACAGGGAGATGAGCCTTTGTTTGGGACACTAAATCTTTCTATAGAGGGTATGTGACATCTTAGTCTCATAAGACTATAGATGCTGGCAAAGCACTTTTAATCCCACAAATTCATAAAATGCTTTCATCTTTACTGAGGAAGGGGTGCTGAGGTAACTTGTGAATCTTAGGTCTTCGGGTCCTATTTTTAACAATGAGCACAGGGAGAAAGGAGCTCATCTGGAACCACACAGAAGAGATGAACATTTGGAGTTGTGCTGAGCAGAAGCAAACATTGGTGCTAGTTTCACACTGATTTCAGGACTGATGTCTCCTGGTCAGAAGTGAGATAGATGTATAACAGTAGGGTAGGGGACACCTTGTGGAAACTTACAAGAGGCCTGCCTGGATCTGGTGATTCAGGGTTTTCCCCTAACCCCCAGCTTCCCTGGTGGTAGGTAGTATATGTGGTTCTGAGCTATTGGACTTCCCAGGTATGATGTGTCTTTGTTTTCCTGGGGGTCTGATGTAGTCCAGTGTTAGATCCTGCATTATTTGGAAGCCAGGACACACAATACATCTAAGAGGGGATCTGAGCAAGAATGATGTGTCCTGAAGCCTTGCCCTTGGAATTACAACTTATATGTTTCTTTATGACAAAGCTCAAATGCTTATTCCTAGAAAAGATCTCCTAGTCATAAGTTTGATTGACTGTTCATGTCTGCAAGCAGAATGAGAAAAGTAGAATATAGGAAGGCATAGGTAAAGAAAAGAATTGGAACGAGTCTATCGCATCCATATTGTTGCCCAGGACAGTCAGAGGACCTAAGAGCGGTGATCTGAACATAAAGAACTGGTATATATCAAGAAACTGACCAGTTCATTTTCTACTAGTAGAAGGATTGTGTATATAAATTGCACATCAATCTCACAGGCCCACATGCAGAAGCAACCACTGGCTTCATCCAGCGGTACTAGGCACACTTATATATTTGTGAGATTGTACTGTTAAAGTAAATATTTCTGTGAAAAAACTGTTCCAACTATTGGTTATTAAATGGAACTAGGGTGAAGAAACTGAGGCAAACAGGATTAAGTGACTTGCTGGGTGCATAGTAACTAATACATGCTTCTCGATTAGTTAATAGATTGATTGGTCTGTGTTTTAGATACATTTACACCTACAGGTTCAGCTATGATGAATGTATGCCCCAGGGTTAGCAAGATCTTACCCTTGATAACTATGTCTCAAAGATTCCCTCTTCCTCAGAGCGAACTTATATCAAAAGGGAGAGCACATCAACAAGGACCTACTTTAATTTCCTTCAAGACAGAAGCAGGGCCATTAAACATAACAGTCCCAGGCAACAGATGAACTGACATCCAATGCTTTAATATGCCCCAAAGTTGCCATTGTAACCATGGCTCTATTCAGTTTACAGAGCAGGAGTGGTTTTCAATTACTTGCCGGTAATATTTGAAGGTGGAGTTACAATGCCTATCGTCTGCCATGCTCGTCACTTGAACAGGTGCTCTGTTTGGTATCAATAAACAGGCCAGGAATGAGCAGTCCTTCACATGACAGCTTATTGCTGCAAAAACCACTTCGCGCAAAAAGCCCCCATCCCAGAAGTCATATGGCATCTCAACTCCAGGCCTTCTCAGGGAACAAAACGCTAATAACCTTGAAAGGAATTAGAACATCTTCAACCTAGGTAGGACACGTTAGTAATAAAGTAGAGAAAAGGCATGCAACAAATAATTTCAGCAAAAGGTACATCCAACACAACAGTCATTTCTAGTTGCCAAGATGCTAATGGGCAAGGAGCGATGCCCAGCTTTGGGATCATTTTAGTTTGTACATTACTGTTTTCAGTATCTGGAAACTTTGTAAGGCATGTTAAGAGTGTTACAATCTAAATTACATTGGCTTTAAAACTGATCAAACCTCTTGTTTAACAAAGAGGGCCCTGCCACTAAGTAATAGGTAAAAGTTGTGACAGTTTCTAAAATCATAAATATGTAAGCTGCACACACAGACCAATTAAATATTATAAAATGCAGGAAAGGTTTTCCTCCAGGGAGCAAGTAGCGGCTGGTTATTTATGTATCATTTCTCTTTGGAAACCCTGGGCAGGACCCTGAGGTAATTTTCCAGATGGCATGGCCTCAAGACGCCATCACAGACTTCACTTCTGCTACAGCCTCCTTTAAATGTACACTATAACACATAATTCTGAATCATGATATGCTTGGTACAGGCTTACAAATACATGTACCCAAATATATGTTACCTGTGTATATCTGTATATGAATTTATATATGTCTTTATATACATAGGCCTTGCCTCTCATAATATTAGAGCCTTTAATTTCTTTCCTCCTAAAATAAAATCTTATTTAGTTTTGGTTTTAAGGCTTTTTAGTAATGCCCAGTCACATATAACTTGATTATGAAAATTAACACTCCCACGTTAGCCGTAAGTTAAATGTGTTTGCCTGAGAAAAATGAGAGTATGGCTAGCACTAGGAATGTAAGGGGGAATTGAATAAGTACTAGTGAAGGCAGTATAGTGTGCACCAGGAAGACCTGGGTTCAGATCCTACCTCTGACTCTTAATAGCTGTGTGATCATAGTCAAGTCATTTAATTTCTCTAAGCCCCAGTTTCTCTAGATGTAGAAAAAGAATAATAATTTCTGTAATATCTACTTTACCAGGTTATTGAGTCATTGAGAGTCTCAAATGAGAAAATGTGTGTAAATTACTTGTGCAAACTTTAAAATAGTATGTAAATGTCAGATGTATGGTAGAAGGGGAAGGGGGGCAGACCTGTGAATTTGTCAGTATGTCCTGGTGTGGAAATTCCCTTCAGTGATACAGATAGAAATTCATCTGTCCCTTATAAGCTTAGAAGGTTGTCTAGGGCACTGGGGCAGTAACTATTATTACTTCAGTGCCCAAAATTTACTGGGCACTTTAGAAACTTAGGATAGAAGGGTGAGGGCAAGAAGGGAGATAAGAAACGTTTGAGTGTGAGCCTGTGTAGAAAGACCCAATGATAAGGCTAAATTTAAATCTCAGAACATATGATTCATTTGGCATTTGACTCAGGGTGCTGAAGTAAAGTCCCATTTTCATGGAAAACAGTTCCTTCTTATTTTGTTATTCCAAGGAAGAAAAAGAGAAAGGTGTTTTTACCCGATCAGTGTGTTCACACAAGTTAATAATTCTGTTACTTTGGGTAAGGTCAGAAGAGATTTGAGATGACATTTATCTCTTGATGTACAGTTATAACTCCCATTAGCATTAATGGGAATTACATGTGAGCACTGAGTGGTGAGCATTCCTCTAAGTCAGAGATGAGGACATTAACAGTAAACGAAAAAACACAATCTCAAAAACTAGCCCATAAAAAGTAGAAAAGCACCAAAAACCA